TGCATTTCTTCATGCCTCGTCTCCACGTAATCTGCTGGCCTCCACGTGGCTTTATCTAGCCTGCAACAACCACTGCGAACAAGGCGCGCTGCGGTAGGCGACCGTCGGACATACGCAGCATGTGTCCTAACCAACGAAGCCTATTGAGCTGAATTTGATGAGGTAGCGAGTTATTGTTTGATGCATTCCCCAACACCCGACGACTTACTTCTAAGTTACTAACCCGCTTACTCCATCCCACTTGGGCTAAACTATGTAAGGCTCGATTGCTAAATGACGGATATCCTCTACCTCCGAATTCCAGGTATCACAACTGTAAAGCAGAACTAATCGTACAGTGGCACAGTATAAGCGACTTTTCAACTTCAATGAAACATCAGGTCACCGCCGCATGTGTTTAAGTCCTGCATAAGCTGCTGTAACCTTGGAAATTCGGGCTATTATCTCCTTTGATGCCCTACCGTCGTTGGTCACGCAACTACCTAAGTACGAGGAGCAGTCAACATCAGCTAATTCCTGAACGTCTAGTTTCAGACCAGAACTCGGCGACACCTAGTCTTGCACCATTACTTTGCACTTCGAAGGTGCAAAGCAACTGCCGACGGGCGCCACAGAACTTGCTAATCTGTCAAGTGCTGTTTGTGCATCCTCCATACATTCGAACAAGCAAACGATGTCGTCAGCGTACTCCAAATCCCACAGCTTTTCTCCAGCTGCGCATTCAATACCTACATTTTAGAGACCACGTAGTGTGTTCTCCAGTATTCCGTCTACGACGGAATTGAACAGGAATGGCGAAAGAGGGCACCGTTGACGAACACCACTGCTAGTTACGAACGATCTACTCAGATCGCCGTAGACCCTTACGCTACCAGAATGTTTACGTACTTCTGCGAAGGAGCGAACCCATAAGGGATTTACGATCAACTGAGTCGAAGGCTCCTTTAAGGTCAAGGAACATGGCAACCGTTGGTCGACGGTGCGTATGGCGTAGCTCGAGTACTTGATGCAGAGTGAAGATTTGATCGATAGGTCCGCGACCTGGTCGAAATCCTGCTTGTTGTTCGCGGATGTTTTTCTCTCTAAACGGTATCAGACGTCGAAGTACGATGGAGGCTAGTAACTTGGTGACGACTTGGATTAAACTTATTCCACGGTGGTTCGTGCTTAACAGAAACAATCCGTGGTCAGCGCAAAGCTGGAGTACGCGTTGTCTGTTGTCAGTCCGTCTAGCTGGGATTGCATGTGAACCACCAAGTAGCCTTTCTGATTCGTCCAGGGATCCCACTTGAGCACTGAAGTCTCCAGCGACTACCACGATGTCCATTGACCGAGTACTTTAGAGCAGTTTGAGAGTGGTCCTTGTAGAATTCATCCTTTATTTATGGCGAACTGCAAGCG